CGCAGGTTCAACTCTTCGAGTTGACGCAGGTATTGTACACAGGTAAGTTGGGGAACTAGGGATCGAGCCCTGGGATCTACCTCAGCTACCACAAATTGGTGAATACCGTTTCAACTTGTTGATGTTGCACTGAAATTGCATTGTCCATTCAGTCCTTCTCATCACATTGCGGATCCTTGGCTCCATGTACATTGCCCAACCGGGCATGTGTCACAGAGCTGAAAGCCGGTCCCCTCATCAGCTGCACCGAGGGTGGAAACCTAGAGCACCATTAGATTTCCTTCTGCCTAAGAGCAAACCGACTGCAACACCAGGTAGCTTAGAATTTGGAATAGAATATGATAAGATGCTGCAGCAGGCCGTTGAGCAGATTCAGAAGTCCCAGGATGCCATGATTGTATCCGAGAATAGATGTAGACGGCCCTTTGTACGCCATTGTGGGTTCGGACCCAGGTGGCCCTTCATATGTTATTTGTGTTCCACCACACCTACACACATATCCTGTCTTTCACAACTCTAAACTACCCTTCTCGAAGATCTATGCTGCTACCAGCCATGGATGGATACATTGACATCGGTCAGATCATCGAGCACCATTTGATGCCTGTTCCAAAGCCAACTTGCAGAGGCAGACCTCCAAAACAGCAGATGCAGTTCAGGGTCGCCTTCAAACATCATTCGGATCCAAAAGAAGGTCGATGGTTCACGAGAGAGGAGCTGATGAAGACAGCCCCTCAGGTCGTATCTCATTATGAAAGGATGTTTAAGGGCAAACAGCAAGTGGATTGAAGGTTTCCCTTGGGACTTTCAAAACAGAGGGGGAGTGAGTGCATCGTGCGAGGATTGTGCCCCTCTGCATGATGGAAAAGGCCCCGCCCGCCCTAAGTGAAGGGGGCCTGCAAATTTTGGCCTTGGCCTGTAGTGAGGCGGGTGAGAGCAGAAAATGGGGCCCCATGGGTTAGTTGCTGCACACAGCATCTCCAACCAACTGGTAATGCCCAACCCCCAGTTGGTTGAAGATGCTCAGGCCCAACCAAAGATGCTGAGGCCCAGGGCACTTACGGTTTAGCCCTGTGCAGATTCTGGAAGGGGCCCAGGGCACAGGTACTGGGACGGGGCACAGCCAGTCCGGCCAGGCCACGAGCCAGGCAGGCAGCACAAAAGGAAGTGATGCAGCCTCACTTCATAACTCTGGCTGGAGGCTCGTGCGGCAGCACTGCTGGAACGCACGCTGAAGGGAGCCAGTCAGAGGAAGAAAGGGCCCTGGCAGTGCGCGCAAAGAGTGGCAAACATAGCCATGCTGGCCGCTCAGCAGCACGGTGGGGATAGGTGGAGGTCCTTGGGCGAAGGCGGGCTGTGGAGGGGAAGTCGGGGATGTGGAGCGGTGTGAGGAGGCACTTACCTAGGGACGAGAAGCGGGCTGTTAACTCAGAGTCTTCATGCGGCATCGGGCTGATGATCTTCAATGCAACCTGTTGTAGCGAAGTAGGAGTCCAGGTCTAGTAGGACGTCAGTAGTCTGGGCACAGAGCGCCAGTAGGATTGCAACATTGTTGAACATTGGTGATTGGAGCTGAGCTGGGGGCTTTCATTATCATGCGATTTCGATGGTGGTTCGGTCTTATTTGGTGTGATTTCACTGTGCATTCTGCTTCCAGTATCTGCTCAAAATTATCTGGACTTCTTTGGAATGTTCCGATCTGGTTTATTTAACTTTATTATTATTCGCATTCAATTTCTTTTTCTCTTTTAAATGCATCCCTTCAGATCCCTTTTAAGCCCCGTTTAAATCGTTTTCCTGGAAACAGGCTTGGATTTGGGCTCCATTTGACATGCACAGAATAACCACTCTGGTCCATCCCTGAGAAGACATCCCCATTGGTCATCTCTGACTTGTCAGGACTCCCAAACAGGTTATCTGGGACCTGTCTGCACTGGATAGCCTAGACAGATGTCTGGTGTAGATGCTGTCGACAGTGACCTGTCTGTGTTGGACAGCCTAGACAGAAGTCTGCTATAGACGCTGTCGACAACCTCACTACATAACCTGCAACATCTACTATTTTCTCATGAAATTGATCAACCAGTTCCCCTGTGCATCACAGGGCAGGTACACTGTGATGTGTGGGTGATTACCCTCTATGGGAGAGATGCTTTTCACATGAAAAGAAGGAAGAATGGGGCATCCTTTGATGGCTGTTCGATGAGATTGTCAATGCTGTTTGACATCCTCAAAAGAGACCTGATATATTTGTTTGATGCTACACAAGACTCTGAAGATTTTCGTTGATGCACTCGTTCTCAGCCACTTCTCAAAGGTGATTACGGGCAACAGTAGAACAATTGACATCATACAGACTCTGACTTGCCGAGTCTACCTTGTTTTTCTCTCTGTGTGAGTAATCAACCCCGCCATGCCCTCTTTCTCTGATAGCATGCCTCTTCTGTGGTCGCCCTGTGCTGGATCCATCTACTCTTGTGTCTCTGACATTCCCTTCTTGGTACTTCACCGCATTTTGCTTCTCGTCACTCAAGCCACGTACAACATCCAGGCCACTTCCTCCCTCACCATCATCTGCTCCTGCAAGTGAGGGATTTTCTGAGATCTGTGGGCATTTTGCATACTCCAATCCTGGAGGCTCAGATGCATCACACTCATGCTGTCTTTGTGGTGGTGATGGAACTTGTATGTTCTCCTCCTGCATGCTTCTTGTTTCTCTGACACAATTAGCCAGGATTTGTAGGTCTGCGTCCTCATCAGACGTGCTGATTTCCATTGCCCTTCCCCCTCCTGGCCCTCTGTTCTTCGGGCGTTTCCTTCCTGGTCTCCCTCCACAAAATGATTCAGGGCTCACTGCTTTTGCTTCAAACAAGGATGATCTGCCTCTATCCGACAAGGTGGCATTTTCCGGCTCGGGGACCACCTTCTGGACCGCCACGAGTTTGTAATTGCTGTCAACATCAATTTTCTTATGTGAGTTTTGGTGGAACGTTCCCACTTCTTCAGTGCAGCCAAATTGCGACAGCTCAAGACTTTGTGTCCACCCAACTCCCCCACTAGGCCCATCAGTCCGTGGGAGAAGGCTTTGCTGTGAGCCCATTTCCATGGTGTGCACCTCTGCCACTGTCACACCACTTTCTCTGCCACTCAGTTCATGGCTGATCATGGCTGCCACACGTGGATTGCCCTTGTTGGCAGCATTTGGAGAGCTCCTGAAAGCTGGCGACTCTTGCACCATCATCCTAGATGTTGACCTGATTCTGCCAGGCCCCAAGGGAATCGGATGTGAAACACCATGGCATGGTGTTTCATCATCGTCATAAATATCTTTATTGGGCTGCCGAGCCACATTACCAAATGTCCTTGTACCGCCTATACTTCGTCTGTGATGAATCCTGTTAATCGGCTGCTGTTGAGGTAGGATCTGCAAAAAGGAGTGTGATAAAAATCAGCAGGGAACCGTCAGACAACCTGCACAACAGTCCAGTAAAGTAGAAATATATTTATAACCTTACTGCAAAAGTGTCTCGGCAAACTACGGGGAGAAGAGATTTATGCTCGTCTGTGGTAAAAGGTAAAACATGGAAAAAACACCCTTGGAAACCCAGCTCACGTGTCTAAATGATACACACATGTAGCTGCCCATGAATCATTATCGAAGTGATATGATAAGATTAGGAGCTACCCCTTAAGCATCCTTGGGGAGGAGCCCTCTCTTTGCTTACCTCCAAGCAATGGACAGTGAAAATGCCTATTGCTTTTAGACCATCCATGCACAACACTTTCACGCCAAGCTCACATCAGATAACGCATGCACATACACCCCCAAAGTACACATGAGATAAAAATTTGACAGTGGTATCAGCCACTCAACTCAATTACACAAAAGTTTGTTGGTACAAGATGAGCGAGTATGGCTGCCAGGCAAGCTCGCTCAGGTATGATTTCTCCCTCTCTCTCCCTCACCGAGGCCTCACTCCTCTCTGGATAGCTCTCAAGTCGCTAACGCTATCCCCTACTCAATCTAGCTATGACTAAAAGTGCTAGCGCCAACGACTACTGAGCTGCTACTCCCGCAAACAACAGATCTCAACAGTGCAGCAGCACTTCCTCCTGGTCACGCAAGTGAATGTGTTGATGACTTCAACAGCAGGTCTTTTATTCTTGAAGATTTGCCTTCTGGACTTCCTCTACCAGTTATCGGTCTGGTACTGATACATTCCCAGTCGGGCGATGTACATACATAGCCAAGGATCCACAATGTGATAAAAAGGACTGAATGGACAATGCAGTGCTAGTAGAGTCTCAACAAGCAATGTAATATCCTGATACATACAAAATGGCGCCTTGCAGCGCAGTGGAAGACTCAGATATAAGCCCTGACCTGACCGGGATTGACCTCTCTCACGTAGTACCAGACAGCATAGCAGAATACTAGAATACCAAGGACTAGCCCAATCAATGTCGCAATCCAGACCAAACATACATCATCCTTATCATAAGGTGTGAAGGGGCCTGGCGCTACACACAGGAAGAATGCGCCAGGTCCACACCATACACAGACGAAGAGGAGGGGATCAGATGAAGAAGAGGGGGGAGATGGGAATGTTGTCAACACCAAGTCTTCGGTACAAGTCCCAGATAATCCCTCGTCAAATGTCTGAAGCCCAATGTCGAGTCTGGATCCAAATGTCACCAATCCCTCCCTCTCGTAGTCTGCTGCTGCAGTGAAGTCAGGTAGCGAGAGGGTGAGGGGGAGATGGTGGACTGAGAAGAGGAAGAAGAAGAATTCTCTCTCTCTCTCTCTCTCTCTCTCTCTCTCTCTCTCTCTCTCTCTCTCT